TGGCAAACAAAGAAAGTGCTAAGCAGGGCTCACCGCCTGAGGACCTGGCACCTTTCCCCCAGGACAGGGCGGGCCTGGAGCCCAACGAGGAGATTCCGTGTTTGCGGTAGGCTTAACTGGGCAGCTGGAGGTTACCTTAGTGACACATTTACTACAAAACCAGTATTTGCTGGGGATTAGCAGCTGCGTTATAAATAAATTGGCCTTTGGGTGAAGACAAAGTGTAGTGTCAATTTATCAGATGCGAAGGGCTCTCTGTCCTGTCCTAGGGAGCTGGGCTCAGCCAGATGGTTTTATTACTCAGAGGGCCCCAGACAGGGTGTTTCACAATCAACAGAATGAATCGCCATAGAGTTTATGGCTCACACTGCTGATCAGAGGCCACAATGATGGACACGGAGCGAGAACCCAAACAGAATGGAATCCCCACCCACTCGATTCCTATGGTACTAAGGGCTGGGCAAAGGAACATGGGATGTGTCTGTCTTATTCAGTTCCCGTCCCCCAAACAAGCTTCGTTGGTTGGCTCCTGCAGATCCCAATACCCCATTTGGGTTTGGTTCTGGTCTATCTCTTCCCAACTACTGTAATTATTTCCGTAATCCACAATGTACTCCCTTTGTCTCCCCCCCTCCCCCCCAGATGTGTCTGTTGCATGGCTGGGGCATGGTATTTACATGTTTCCATTAGCTAGATAGTGCACATTTAATAAAATTTACTGTGGATCTGATAAGATTATTATTGCATGACTGATAAGGTTGTTATTACCGGTCTGTGTATGCTTAATAAGCTTCTTGGTGTAATCTACTAATAGATTTTCCAAACTGGGGGCCCAATGCTGCTCACCGTGCCCATGTCAGAGGTCCTACCAAAGCTGATGGGGCTGTCACATGAACAAATGCTGCCGGATCAGGTCCAGGCCATGTGGAACTGGGACAAATCCACAGCTCTTTCAAAGGGTCAGGTTTGGCTCCCATTTACACTGGAGGAAATCCAGAGCCACGCCACAGGAGTCAGTTTCCTCAGAGGAGCTGAGATCAGCATCTCCACTGAAGGCAGCTCACAAATCAATAAGTGTTTACTGGAGGTGAAACAATTAGCCTCCTCAGCCTCTCTTGGGGACATAGCACTGCCATAGCATGAAAACATGTTTTGTCTCATTCTTGCCTGGTTTTGTCTCACTGGTCCCTTCTGCTTCCCCCATCTGTTTGTGGTGTCCCCCTGTTGTCTCTGTGGGGCAGGGGCCAGGTCTTTGCAGGAAGTGTGTATAGTGCTTAGCTCACTGAGACTGGGCCCTCTACCATAATCCAAATCATAAGCTGAAGGGACCTGATCTCTTGCTTGGTGTCTCCCTCCTGCCCTGTGCTCTCTCCAAGCGCCTGTGCTGAGATTGTGGTGAACGGGCTGGAGGCTCACAGATCAGGCCCCTGAGCTTACCAGCCTGGCTGTAGCGTCCCTCCTTGGGTGAATGCTGCATCTGTTTCTTCCATCCAACCACCTGCCCTCTTCAATTCTGCAGTGAGCTGGCACGTAGTGCCCTGAGAGCAGAATATGCACTAGGGCACCTGACAGGGCTTCTCCAGCTCTGATTTCCTCAGCACCCTAAGCAGTCGGTCTGCCCAGCCATCCAGGGGGTATGGGCTCTTTGTCTGGCCACCAGCATAGGGGCATGGAGGCATTCTGTCTGCTGGCTATGGGCCTATGCACTCTCTTTCTCTACTCTCAGTCCAATGGACTTAGGATGTCTGTCTGGCCACCTGGCTGCTCTCTCTGCCTGCCCATCCATTCTCGGGGTAGGAATTACATCTGCCCACTTCTCTGCAGCTGGATCTGGGCTAGCCCCCTATCCAGCCCAAGCCTGTGCAAGGCCTGCCCTCTGCTCTGCCTCCAGTTGGGATCTCAGGAGAAGTGCAGCTTTTGCAGCATGGAGCGTGCCCCTGGATTTTCCTCCAGCCCTTTCCCTCCCCAGCTCCTTCCCCCACCCCCACCCCCCCACCTCCGGTTTGTTCTAGCTCCGCTCCCTCTCCTAGAAGAGCTTCTTCTCTAGTTGTCTGCATTTCTCCCTGTTTTTTTTATCCCCCCAGTCTTAATGAAGAAGGGTTTTCACAGAACCAGGAGAGAGGTCTTGCTCCTGCTTCCCAGCTTTGCATCTCAAGAGGAGATATGTGACTCTTACTTCTTGAAAAGAAAGCCGAGCAGGCAGCTGGGGCAGGGAGAGGGCTTCGCAGTGAGGATGCTGTGTGAAGGGGGTGATCAGCCTCGGAAAGGTGGGACAATTCAGTACTGAGTGGCAGTGGTAGAATGAATTCCTCCCAACCCATCCCCAATGGGAGTACCGAGGGGGGAAGGGAAGTGGAACCCAATCCAGAGGAAGCCCAGTAAGCAGCATGGATTTACACCCGGATCCATGCCCTCCCGGACACTGCATGCATGTTGGATACCAACCATCACTGGAGACAGCAACTCCCATATCTGCTGCACAGGGTGTGGTTGGAGCTCAAGCCTTTGCTCAGGTGTGAGGGTGAGGGTGAGAAACCACACAAACCTCGCTGCCCAGGCTGCTAGTGCCCTGAACAGCCTACAAGGTGCATATGGGGATCACTCCTCCCAGGCAGCCCGTGTATGAGCAGCTCCCAGAAAACGCTTCTCCATCAGCTGTGGCTGCCTCAGGCCTGAGCCTCTCAGTCAAGGCTCCATCGGACTCTCCCTGCTCCCGGCTGTATCTCTGCCTCCTTCTCTCCTGCTCCCTCACCTGCTGTCTGCAACAGCCTCAGCTTGCCCTCCTCAAAACTCCTTCTGCTCTCTTCTCCCATTCTCTTTGTACCTACCTCCATAGGGCCCTTATGTGTGGGGAAAGTCTCCTGCTTCTCCTGGACTGGTTAACCACCCTCACTTCAGCCCTCTTAAATACCTCCCTGGAAGCTGTTCAGTGCTAATAGCACTCACTTATTCTGCATACAAATAATTGCCAGTATATAACTGAGCAAGTGCCTTTCCCAGATGCATTCCACATACCCTGTAGAGCCCAACCTCACCCCCATCCTGGGGACTGGCATTGTTAGACAAGGTACTAACCATACGACAGCACAAAGTTCAGGTCAGTCCTTCTCCATAGGCTTGGCTGCTCCTGGAGTTCCTCCCTCAGGGCTGCTCAGCCCACACTCAAGGTTCTCTGTCCCTGTAGAGCCACTCCCGCCTCCTTTTTAGCCATCTGGGATAACAAGTCCGCAGAGCCCACTTAACCTTTTGCCAGCTGGCTCAGCACGAGCTTATAGGGCAGGCTGTTTTAGGAAAACGCTGCCAACCTGTTACAGTAGCGGTGTAAGTTTACATGGAAGCGGAAGAGAGGAAGGAAAAGGGAGTTGGACGGTGGAGAGAATCCATTAAAGAAATCTACCTCCCCTGGCAGCTCAGGGATCGTGTGTCCAGACTGGGTTTATCTCCCTGGGATTGTAAACTCCTTGAGGTCGAGACTCTGGGACTGGCCTGGTGTAATTGACATTAGGTGTGTATTGTACAGCACTGCGCATTGTGTTGGTGTGTAATACCCAGTTAATACTAAGCGCCTCTGAGGCTGCCTGGTCCCAGGGCAAGGCTGGGGACATCGCAGGAAGCCCAATGACCCCAGTGGATTCAGAATTCAGCAGCTACTTCAGGAGTGGTTGGTTGGTCAGACACTAGGGGAAGGAGTGGCACAACAGTGTAGCCTACACTGACTGGGTGTTAAGTGGGGGCCGATTGCACGTACATTCGAGTCAAAAGCAACATTCCCATTGGCTGCAGAGGGGCCCAGGGCTGTGCCTGTAGGGTGTGAGTCATTGTCACTCACAGGCCGAGGGGGCAGGGGCACCAGCAACTAGCATGAGTGTAAGACAAGGAGTGTGAGGAGGCAGCCACTTACACTGACCTCTCCTTGTGGCCGCCTCTCCCTCCCCCAGCGTGTGGATCACCTTGGTGTTTACACACTCACTGAATCCCCCCCCTCCCCCCAGGGGTTAGCTACATTCCGTGGTGCCGGTGCCACTTCATCCTATTTTCAGAGCCACGTATGTAATCTGCACCCCTGTGAACAGCACCGCTGTACTGGCCCAGGGACTCCCAGGGGAGAGGCACCTGCTCCCCTCGGGCTGCACCTGTCCCTGCACCAGCAGCTGCTGAGAGGTGCAGACCTTCCCTCAGCAGGGAAGGGGTTAAACCCCAGTTTAGCTCCCTCCCTCCCTCCTCTGTGTGACTGTTTCTTGCCCCCAATGACTGATGTGTGGAGCTGACGCAGCTGGGGGTGCTGGCCTCCCCTCCTTGTCCAGCTCCTGGATCCTCCAGCTCCTTCCCTTGGTACATGCCAGGTTGTTACACTCTAGTTTGGTGACCTCACAACCACTGCCATGGCAACGGCTTATGAAGTCACAAGCAGAGCTGTGCCGGTAGCAGGGGCGGAAGGAGAGAGGAGCCTTTGCTCTGACTAAGAAGGGATCGGAGAGTCCCCGGGCATATGGGCTGGAGCCCAGCTGTTGCTCTGCTCTGATCTCTCCTCTCCCCACGGCGGGCGGTTCTGTCTCCCTGCAGAATGAGTCCTTCTCCGAAGGAGGCTTGGGTGCCACTCTGCTTTCTCCACACCGACGTTTCCACTTGATCCAGCGCTCCCGTCTGCCCCCCACTCTCAGCTTCCTTCCAGAGGGGCTGCCTATGCACCTTGAGCCCAGCAGAGCGAGGGGGCCATCATGCTGATAAAGGAGTATAGGATCTGCATGCCACTCACCACTGAAGAGGTAAGCACTCGGCTGCTCTCCCGGGGAGCACTGCGGGTGGAAGGGGCAGTGTGGGCTGGACCCCAGGCGGCTAAAGGATTAGATGGAACACTTTCCATTTGCTGCGAGGGACGTTCCGGCCCCAAAGACGCCAGCCACGAGGGGGTCTGCCCTTTCTGTGAGCCAGGCGACACTGCCCAGCGTGAGGGGGTGCAACATAGCTGCCCTCCTGCATGCCAGAGCGCCGCTGCATGGGGGAGACGGGGCGGATAGCAGCAAGGGGCAGAGGAGGGGATCAGGGTTGGGAAGAGATACTGTACCGGGGGGGGGGATAGCAGCAGGTGGGGAGGCGGGAGCAGGGTCTGACGGGGGAGGAGGGGTGTGATGGGAGCAGAGCAGGTGGGGGGACAGAGGTGGGGAGGGAGGAGGAGGTTCTGACGGGAGGAGGAGTGTGATGGCAGAATAGCAGGTGGAGGGGCACAGAGGTGGGGTATGGGGACTAATGGGAGAAGAACGGAATGATGGGGCGGGATAGCAGTAGGCAGTAAAGTGGGGAATTGGAGTCTAATGGGGTATAATAGAGAATAGGATCACAGCAGGTGTGTGGGAGACGGGGGATAGGGGCTGGGATGGGGTGAGGGGTACAATGGAGCAGGGTGGCAGTGGGGGGTGAGG